AAAACCAGAACGGCCCGTTCTGATGCACTCGTTGTGTGTTACATTTGCATCTAGAACGGTCTGTTTCAGATACAAAATTAACACACACCGAGTGGGATCAGAATGGGCCGTTCTGGTTTTAGAATGGTCCGTTCCAGCTGCATTAAAGAAGGAGTATGAGACCTTGCCACTTGTGTATCTACGTGACATCCACATCATTTACATTTAACACCGTTTGTGAAATTTGGACGGAAAGTCCCACATTGACATTTTTTAAATTATTAGGGGCCAAATTATAAAAAAAATTATAAAGAGACGAAATTAAAACTATTAATTATTATAAGGGACCAAATTAAGTATTTTTCCTATAAAAATAATAGTTAATCAAATAATTCAAATGTTGGATAAAATATATACCTAATAAGTCTATCAATAATTTTTAATAAAATAATAAGTCTATCAAAAATATTAAAATAAAACCATTCAAATATTAATTTATGATATTGGACAGTAAAACGCACAGGGGCACAGGGCAACCTTGGACTGTTTTTTTTAATAAAAATTTTACCATTGAGTTTGTGTTATGGACGTGTGGACTCTAAAAAAAGTTTTGAACTAATTTTGTTCTACCAAAGTATACACAACTCAATCCAATAATATATTGATTAGATTTGTGCAAAATTAAATAAAAAGTTTGCAGCTTGTGATATACTCCATTAAGTAAAACTTGATATTTTTTATTAATCAAGATTTTAATTATATCAATAAGAGTCGAACTTAAAAATCACGTGGATATTAATTTAACCTTTATTTATAACTTTTTATTTAAGATTTAAAAAAAAATATTTATTTTGCTCAACCTTAAAATTCAAAGGTACATGTGCAGTAAAAGTTCTACCGATTTAGGTACAATGTCAGTGTATAATATATCAACTCTCATTTGACCAACTTTACAGTTAGCACATTTTGAAATTAAAAAGAAAAAAATAATTTAATTACTTTTTTTAAGTCCATGTAATTTAATGTATTTTATCTTTAAATTTTTATAACTAAAAACGTTTAACATTAGTTTACATATATATATATATATATATATATATTAATCTATGTCATCTATTTTTATAGAGTCTAAAAAGGAAAGTTATAATAGTATTATTATAAACATTAAAAGGAAAAATTTATATGATTATATAGAGACTTTAAAGAAATTTTACGTATAAAAACTAAAATAGAAAATTTTAAATATAGAGATTGAAAGATAAAATTTATAAAATTATATAAATTAAAAATGTAATTAATCCAAAAATAAGCAAAATAACAACGTAATTTCGTTCAACAAGTTATAAAAAAAATCTCGTGAATGATAAAAAAAAAGATGAGAAATCCATCTCAATTGAAATAAATAAAAAAAACAATATTGAAAAAACTATCCTGAATTGTAGAAGTTATTATAGATTTGGAAGAAAAAAATATTTACGAAGTTTCAATATGATAGATTAAGAAAATGTGAATAAAAAAAAAGTAAGAAAACCACGATTAATTAAAGTGAAACGCGTGTACCTAAAGAAAAAACTCAATTTTAATTAACTTTTTTTTTTTATGAAATATAATCCTAAGAAAGACGTATATTAAATAATTAATCACATTTAAGTCATAAATAGTAAAATTTGAATATTAATCATATTTTAACCTTATAAAGCTAAATTGAAATCAACATTGTAAAATATAACCTAAATGAATTTAATTATAAGAATAACAATAAATTAAATTGAAGGTCATACCTTATAAAAGAACTAACCGTTAAATTAAAATTTGTATATTTGATCTATATATTAATTTTTTTATATTTAAAAGTTAGATCGTTAAAATTCAACATAAATCATAAGTTATTTAGTGAAGTAACTTAAATAGAACTTACAATTAGAGTCATTTAAATCAATATAATTATGTTAATTAACTAACCACTAACCGATTAAAGGAGTGAAAATGAACTTATTATTTTTTAAAAAAAAGTAAATCATATGTAATCATTCAAAATAATAGATTTTGTAAAAAAGGTATAAACTCATGACATGTAGACTAGTATAAAATCTAGACTCTAACTAAAGCATGAGCGACTCGATTAGGTTGTTTACAAACAAATTTGATGGTACAATTCAAAATTTTTAATCAAAAACTCCTTACACTTCTTCAAGGTAGAGATAGCTTCATTATTCATAATTTTTTGTTGCATGTTTAACTTTGACAATTTGCTACCAATCACGTTCAACAACAACTTGCATGAGATTCATAAATGTAATGTTAATGCATTGAAAAAAGTCATTACTTTTACCTCCAAATATGTAATATTACCTTAATACCAACCGGTTAAAGTTGAAAAAAAAATCTCATCATGATCACAAATCCAAGTCCCATAACTAGAGTGTCCATAATTAGTAAAAACAACAATATCAATGGTGTACTTTAGTACTCCAAGAAAAGGCCTCTACCAAGATGAAATAACATGAGTCAAGGTTGTAGTATGGGGCTCTTTTTTTCTTGTCCTATGCAAACTTCTAATTACAAATCATTTGCATAGTCAAGTTAAATGGAAAAGTTGTTGTAAATTCTGCATTATTTCACACTTTATCATTTCTCCCCTTCCATGTACATCAAAACCTAAAAATCATTTTCTCTTTTTCTACATAGTCAAATTTGCAAGAGCTTGAAAAATAATATTCTTGAAGTTCTCCATGCTATTTGTTGCATCATGTAACTTTGACAAAATTTTAGCTTGGTTTCACACAACCATAACACAATTATAATGGAAAAATATATGTGAGTCTATTTTTGGTTCTCCTTCACAAAATGGGTACAAAAGTGGACAATGAACTCCCTTTAAAATTACACGTTACCTTGATGGGATACAATCACAAGCCATTCTCCAAACTAGGATCTTCATTTGGTGTGAGATATTTAACCTCCATATTAAGTTCCAATCACCATCCTCACAATAATGTGCATTATCAATCATATTCTCCATAATATGTAGTAAGTGGATTTAACTGAATAGTTATCAATCACATTCTTCATGATATTAAAAAATTCATGAATTAAATTTTGATGCCATATACTATAATAATGATCAAATAAAACACCAACATTCATTTGCCCAAATCCAACCGATGGCTCATATTAAATGAAAGATGTGTCATTTGATCTCAGTCATGGTTCTTTCCAAACATTTATTTTACACCCATCATTGAATTGTCATCTAACTCCTTTGACTAGTGCTTGTGAAGCATGGATGCTACACTAAACATGACTTGTACTATGACCCAATCTAGTTGTTGAAAAAACACATTGTGAGTAATATCTAGCCTTGAAAACACAAGTAACTATGACATCTATGTTAGTTAAAAATCTACAAGTTTACTTTCCTAGTATTGCATATTGGATATTGTACTTTATTTTCCATTTTATCTTTTTTAATTAGTTGTTAAGTTAGTTTTGCTATTTTTATAAGTTTGTTATTTTCAGCTTTTCTATTATTTTTGTTTTATTGATTTTTTTTTATTTTATAAAGGAACATCTTGTATCATTTTAAAAATTCAATAATAATAGAAGAATTCCAGTTGTTCTTTGTCTTCTCTTCCTTTCTCTCTTTTCCTTCATCTTATTCTTTGGTTCTTTGCTTTAAAAATTTTTCTTTCGCATATTTGTGCATATATGTTCAATATGGTATCAAAGCATTACAATGAGATGTTGGCACTACAAGGGAGAAAGATTGCTGACAAGATTGGAGTTTGAAGTAGATGGTGTGTCTAAGACTTGATTCACATTTTGTTGTTTCTTGTTTTTGAAAGGAAAATTAGGTGGGTAACCATAGATCTTGAAACATTTGTCTTTAGTGTGACCAATGCCATCATAATGAACACATTTTGGTTTATCCTTCGTGTCATTCTTTATAAAAGATTTATTAAAATTCTGAAAAGAAGAATTTTGAGTAATCTTTACAACAAAAACCAAATTTTCAGAAATAGATATATTGCCTATTTCTCTTTGAGATTTCTCCTGAGAGACTAAAGAGAAAAATTGACTTATAGGTGGTAAAGTGTCAAATAAAAGAATCTGAATATGAATATGAGCACAAGACTCATTCAATCCCACGAGAAAGGTCATAACATACTCACTTTGAAGATATTTTTGATAAGTGGGTAAACCTGGACAAGTATATCCAAAATTTGGTTTGTAAGCAGATAATTTTTCCCATATTCTATTCTGTTTAGTGTAATAAATTTCCACAAATCATAAGCATAAAGATGATGAAATCACCTACCTCTTTTTTCCTTTCTTATAGACAATCGATCCAACTAAGCCAATTTATTCCTTTTCCACCACTCTGCTTTGTGCCCCACCAAAAAGAGTTCATTATTTTTTGGATTTTATCCTGCAGTGTAATTGGAAAAAGACATGGGCTCATGCAATATGAAGGAATTGTTTAAGCCATAGATTTAGTAAGGATCTCCTTGCTTTGGATAGAATTTTCCTTGACCAATGTTGTATTCTCTCATAGATTATGTCTCTAAAGTAACTGAAAATAACCTTCTTACACCTACCAATAATAGAAGGCATACCCAAATACTTTCTTGTCCCAAGGCTCTCAATAACATTTAGAACAAAAGAGACTACCTCACTGCAATTTTGAGAGGTATTCTTACTAAAGAAAATTTCAAACTTTTGGAAATTAATTGTTAATTCTAAAGATTTCTCAAGAATGCTAAGGATGTTATCATGAATAATGTCTATCTTTTTTTCCAATAACCTTACAAAAAATGAAACATTCATCATCAAAAAGCAAGTGTGTAAGGAGTGGGGTTCCTTTACACACTTTAATTTCATGAATGTCGCCTCTCCCTTTAACTCTCTTAAGTAAAGTAGTCGGCCTCTCCATACACAATATGAAAATATAAGATGATAATGAATCACCTTGTTTAAGACTTCTCTCTTTAGTAAAATACGACCTACCTTCCCCTCAATGATTAGAACATTAAAACTAGGGATGGCAAAATGGGTCGTGGCCCGCGGGCCGGCCCGCTGGCCTGCCAAAAATTGGCAGGCCGGACCCAGCATTTTAGCCCGCTAACCCGCCAAGCCCGCCCCGCCAAGCCCGCCAACCCGGCAGGCCAAATAGCGCCAACCTCAACAAGATTTTTGTCAACAGTAAGCTTATTTAATGTCAGAGTCCCAGTCTTATCACTGCAAAGCACATCCATGCCTGCCATCTCTTCAATGGCTGTCATTCTCTTTGTGATAGCTCCCTGCATACATTATAACCCTTAGTTCTTACCTGCATATGCCCACACAAGGTGCTCAACCGAAAGTATAACTAACTAACCTGCTGAGATAGCCTGTGAGAACCAATGGCCATGGTCACAGATAAAACTGTCGGCATGGCAATTGGAATTCCTCCGATAAGAAGCACAAGGAGGTTATCAATTCCAGGACGATACGGCCGATCTTGGATAGGATACATAACAATAATCTCAATTACCATCCCCACAGCAATTGAACATATGCAGAAGTTCCCAATTGCAGTCAAGACCTAAAAAATACGGAAAAAATATATGACAAAGAAATCAGGAATTGTGAACAATAATTGGGAGAAAAGTTACATTGGGCCAATTTGGATACAAGCTTAGAAGAGTTTTTGAGAACTTCTCTACTGAAAATAAAGAACTTTTTCTAGTAGATAAACTCTTAATAACACTTTTATTTTATATTCATACAAACTCATTTGTCTTATGTTACCTTTTGAAAGTGTCCAACTTGATTGGTAGTATCCACAAGATGAGCAGCTTTACCAAAGAAGGTATGAACACCGGTAGCAATGACCACAGCTTCAATCTCTCCTTGTTTGCAGGTAGAACCAGAATAAACACCATCGCCTGGACCCTTTGTCACTGGCAGTGATTCACCCGTAAGTGCAGACTGAAAAGTACAAAGCACCAGAGAAAAAAGAGGATAATTGACCAGTTAGGCATGTGGTGGATTAGACATTAGAGGAGCAAATATTATATGCCAGATGTATAAAAAAAATACAAAAATCAATAACCCACTTGATCAATTTTCAAAGGATCCCCTTCAAGAAGCCTAGCATCAGCTGGAATAATATCACCAAGCTTGATGCTGATTATGTCACCAGGAACCAGGACCGCAGCATCTTGCTCACTCCACCTACCATCTCGAAGAACCTTTACAAACACACTCATGAGAAATCAAACAATAAAATGCAAAAAGAAAGAAAAGATTCCTTCCAAGATGCAAACCACATCAATAAGAATATGGAATCCATATAGAGATAAAAGAGTTTGACACCTTTGCTTTTGGAGCGAGCCGAGCCATGAGAGCTGCTGCAGCATTACCAGCATTGTTCTCCTCAATGAAACTGATAGTTGAATTGATGACAAGCAAGGTAATGATACCCACAAAATCTTGCCAATCAGGCGCCTTCCCCTGCACAATTTTAAAGAACAAGTCCAAATAATCAATCTACAAAACACAAATATTAAATTTGATTATTAAAATTAATAATAGAGAATTATTATTTATATAATAATATTATACAATGAACTTTATTATTTGTATCATCTTTGGAAGGTGAACCTATTATGAGTTATTAAAGTATTTTTTGTGGTCCCTCAATGTCACGTAGACTTACAAAATTTTCTCGTCCAGAACAAGTGATTCCGTGCATACCATTTCTATTTTTTTCTAATTTTTCCAATGATGCGTATACGACTACCAGCCCCTACACCTACACCCACTTCGGTTTTGAATATATTTATTTGCATAAACTCAAGATGTAAGACAAAATCCACTTTTAAAAAAGTTTGAGTATCTATTTACGCAGTGAATGAACTGAATTATTTATTTTTTTTTCCATTTTTTTACAAAATATTTTTTGGGTATACGGGCCAGCCCGCCAACCCATCCTTAAGCGGGGCAGGCCAAAACGGGACGGGCTGACCCGTTTTGCCACTCCTAATTAAAATTAAATGTTTCAATACACATCCTCATTCACCCAACCCACTTTGCATTAAAATCCATTTTCAACGTCAGAACACTCAAATAACACTAATCAATTTTATAAAAACTTTATTAATATTAATTTTAAGAACAAATTCACTTATATTGTCCTCAACTTTACTTAATCTCCCAAAATAATAAATATTATACATTAAATAAAAAAGAATAAGCATCACTCTAGTTTTCAAATAATATGATCTTTTAACTTATAAATTACAAATTCAGTGACTTAATGTGAATTAATTATCGTAATAATTAAACTAAACTTTTCTCAATTTTTATGATTAAAAAGTGATATGATTTTTATTTTAAAAACCAAATCAATTTATTTCAACGATTTATTGATATTATTTTTTAAAAATTAATCCATATATTACCTTTTTTAAAGACTGCGAATGTTAATTGTTGACGAATAATGAGCAAAGTAGTAATTTTCTACTCTTAAAAAATATCAGAAGGAAGGAGTAAATTCTAACCGGGTTTTTCTAATGGTGAGGCGTAAGCCACGATGCGTTGCCACGTGTCTCTTCTATATCAAAACAAAACAACAAAGTCAGTGTATGTAGGTTGCCAGGGAGAACAAGAAGCGATATTAACATTGCAATCATAACATAACCAACTCGCTTGGAAGCAGAGCCGCCACACGCACACTCTCCCTGTAACCCCTTCAATGGTCTCCCAACACTGTTGACCCATGCAGGTACCTCTCTTCATTTCATTCAATTCATCTTTACCACCCATCTTTGCTTCACAAGCTACACTAATTTGATGGGTCTATGATCAAATTGTTGTCACTTCTATACTGGGTGCTTTTGGATCACCTTTGATTTGTGGGGCTGTTCTTGGGTTCATGTTTGGTGTAAAAAATGAGTCTTTACAGCATTATACACATGCAGTAAATAGATAGTCTTTTAATGGATTGAAAGGTTGAAGGATTTTTTATTTAATTTGCCTTATAGACATGCTAATGTATTTTTACTTTCCCCTCAGCTCATTGGTTTTTGCTAGCAATGATAGAACTTTGTGTTGGGTGAGTGAACTATTTGAATAATTCAAGTTAGAATCTTGTTTGTGGTTTAATACACTCATTTTGGGCATCCTCTGACCTGTTTCTAACGAGTCCGACATGGAATATGTCTCCTGTCAATATTCTGTCAGCGTGATGCTGGATAAAGGACCTTGATTCCAAATCAAACATACTGTGGTGTCTCTACTGTTCTTATTATTCATGTGAATAACCTGATTCCTCTCTATTACTTCTGAACAAAATGTTTATTCTGAATTGCTTTAAAGTAAACCAAGTACGGGTGCTAAGATTTTGTATTTGCTCATCTAATCATTAGGGTTGGTGCATACAAAATTTATTGACTGATGTTACAATGTTATAATGATATTAATAGCCTTAGAAGTTAGAGTATGACTTATGCTTAGTGGCATTTGTATTTTGCAGTGGTTGATGTGTTGTTTGTTTACAGCCATGGTGTGTAGGATGTTTGTGGAAAATTGACCTCTTTCAATTGTGTTAAGTTTTCATGATTGTGAACTATTTCTACTCAATTTTATTTGCAGACTATGCTTCGAGCGAAGCAGATCAGTGCACTTTCTAGCAGTGCTAGGAATTTTCTCATTGGCGGTTCGCGTTGTAATGCAGCAGATGGTAGTTCATGCTCTTGCACTGAGGATGAAACTTGTGTTTCTAGACGACAGCATATAAAAAATGAAGTTTTACCTGCACAAAAGCCATCCTCCTTAGTATCCAAAGCTACTATTGAAGTGGACGAAACATTGGTTTCAGCAAACTCAGTAAAGGGGCCAGCTTGCAGCAAGGTTGAGGGAGTTGATCAATCTGGCTGTACTCGGCAAATTGCGCCTGCTTCAAGTCCATCAAGTAAATCAGATTCTGTAACATATGCTTGTGGTATTGATGGTGTTCAAGAACGTGTTGAGCACTTATCTCCTCTTAATGCTGACCAGTTTTACAGGGCCGGTATTGCAGCTATAAATTTTCTTTCTGATATAGTTAATTATAACCTTCCTTTATCAAATGGAATGGAGATCCTAAGCTACTCTAAAAATTGTATGGTTGATACTGCCAGAACCCCACCCAAAATCAGATCTTCAAATGTGAAACAGATTAAACGGGAGAACTTTACCAGTGTTAATCCAAGACCATCTGTTTCTACTGATTCAGGTCCTAAGCATACCAGTCATAATAATAGCGCAAAGTGTAAAGGTGACAAGTCAAATTTGGGTAAAGGTTTTAAGCGTATTCCTTCTTCTGGTACAGAGAAGTCAGTGGTGTCTCAAAATATTCCATTAAATAATCATCATGAACACAGAGCCTTTCCACAGAGAACAAGAACAAAATCAAACCACATTGTGACAGATTTCGGTTCCAGCATGCATGTTTCAAACACACAGATGGTGGGATCGAACAAGGAAAGTTTCAATAAACATCCCAGGGATCTGAAAATGTCAGCTGGAACTACTTCGATGAACAGGCATTTTACAAACACACGGCGTACTGTGGAAGTGGTTTCAGATATACTAAAGCAGTTAAAGTGGGGTCCTGCAGCAGAAAAGGCTCTGTATAACCTGAATTTTTCAATGGATGCATATCAAGCTAACCAAATCTTGAAACAACTTAAAGACCACTCAGTTGCTCTTAACTTTTTTTACTGGTTAAAGCAACAACCAGGCTTCAGGCATGATGGGCATACTTACACCACCATGGTTGGTATCCTGGGCCGTGCTAGACGGTTTGATGCCATAAGCAAATTGCTAGAGCAGATGGTCAAGGATGGATGCCAACCAAATGTTGTAACGTACAATCGCCTTATTCATTGTTATGGTTGTGCAAACTACCTGAAAGAAGCACTGAATGTGTTCAATGAAATGCAGGAGGTGGGATGCGAGCCTGATCGTGTCACATACTGTACACTCATTGATATCCATGCTAAAGCTGGATTTATTGATGTTGCAATGTCTATGTACAAAAGAATGCAAGCAGCTGGTCTTTCTCCAGACACGTTTACTTATAGTGTTATAATCAACTGTCTTGGAAAAGCTGGCAATTTAGCTGCTGCCCACTGGCTCTTTTGTGAGATGGTTGATCATGGTTGTGTTCCTAATCTAGTCACCTACAATATCATGATTGCCTTGCAAGCTAAAGCAAGAAATTACGAGACGGCATTGAAACTATATCACGACATGCAGAATGCAGGATTTCAACCCGACAAAGTTACTTACAGCATAGTAATGGAGGCACTAGGCCATTGTGGTTATCTTGAGGAAGCTGAAGCAGTTTTTGTTGAGATGAAAAAGAGAAACTGGGTGCCGGATGAGCCTGTTTATGGTCTTTTAGTAGACTTGTGGGGAAAGGCTGGTAATGTTGAGAAGGCTTGGGAATGGTATCAGGCTATGCTGAATGCAGGTTTACTTCCAAATGTGCCTACTTGCAATTCCCTTCTCAGTGCATTACTCAGGTTGCATCGATTGCCTGATGCATATAATCTTGTCCAAAGCATGGTGGCTCTTGGCCTTAGACCTTCTTTGCAAACTTATACTGTGCTCCTTAGTTTCTGTACAGGGGCACAGTCAGCATATGATATGGGATTTTTCTGTGAGCTTATGGCGGTTACTGGCCATCCTGCTCATGCATTTTTACTGTCTATGCCAGCAGCAGGACCTGATGGTCAAAATGTGCAGGATCATGTCAGCAAATTCTTGGATATGATGCACACTGAGGATAGAGAGGGCAAAAGGGGGCTTGTAGACTCAGTGGTGAATTTTCTTCACAAGTCTGGGCTAAAGGAGGAAGCTGGTTCAGTTTGGGAGGCTGCTGCACAAAGGAATGTGTATCCAGATGCTGTCAAGGAGAAAAACTCTCGCTATTGGCTTATCAATCTTCATGTCATGTCCGATGGAACTGCTGTAACAGCATTATCTAGGACACTTGCTCAGATTCGCCGTCGGATGCTGGTATCCGGGATTCGCCCTAGTCGAATAGATATTATCACCGGATGGGGTCGTAGGAGCAAGGTGACAGGATCTTCCCTGGTGAGACAGGCAGTGCAGGAGCTGCTGCGTGCATTCAGTTTCCCATTTTTGGCTGGAAAGGGCAATTCAGGGTGTTTCGTGGGATGTGGGGAGCCTCTTTGTCAATGGTTGCTCCCCTCTTATGTGGAAAGGATGCATTTACTGTAGTTGCCTATTGTAGAATAGCTCTACCTTTAGCACTGGCACAGTTTTGCCATTGAATGAGATGTTTTATGCACGATACTGACATTGTATTTAATCTCAGTGAGCAGTTATCCATCCAAGTTGTTATCTACAAAATTTTAAGTTACCTAAACTGATAGGCAAACCGAATCCTCGCAGAGTCTCTAGTTTACTCCCTATATTATTTAGCTTGGTATTTGTAAATGTAAACGAAAGTGCAATTTACACTTTCAAAATTCACACAATCTCTCTGCCCTTTTAGCTTGGTAATAATTTTTCTTACAAGGATATACAGTCTAACGTATTTCTTGGAAAACAGAAAATGTCAATGTAATACAGTTTAAACAATAAAGAGAATTTAGAATTTTGAAGAAATCACAGGGATATCAGGGTAACTTACTCTGAAAGGAAACAATTTTTTTTAAGGCATATCACATCATTCTTTTAAAAATTGAATATCTGGTCAAAACTGTTGGAAATTATAGAGGAAAATTCTGTGTTTCTTATTTATTGTTTGTCAGTGATAAATTGATTGACACGGACAAACTGATTAGCGAAGACAAGCAAAAGTTAGAAGGCAAGTTATTGGAAAATGGTTACCTTCATAATTCTGTAATGTTTGCTTCTAAGATACGAATGCTGGATGCTGTTGGCACTAATTTTGGTTTGGCTGCACAAAGACAGAAGGAATGTAAAGCGAATTAAAAAGAGAAAACAAATAAGCCTCCATCACCATTCACTGCAACAAAGGGGCAGTGCCAGCAAATGCAATTCCAATGGTTTGTGTTTAAGAAGAGTTTTTTTTCTTTTTCACCTGAATCAAACTTATGAGGGTTTACAGAAACTCACGTATCTATGTAATGTTTATGCCCTCGTGCAATATGATTTTTTATGAATAACATTATTTTAAGTGGTAGGGTCGAGTTAATATTTTTATATTTTACTTAATAAAATTATTTAAAAATTATTAATGTTTATTGAATTAATTAGTATTCATTAATGTTTATCGAATCAATTAGTATTGTAAATGTAGTTAATTTTGAATATTATTTTTTTATTTAAATATTTAAGGACAAAATCATCTAAAAAAATATGCACACCAAATCAAATTATTATAGATTATAGATTAGTGTTTTAAGATGTGCAAGTTTATTACACGTAATTAAAATTTTGGCTTAAATATGTTTTTAATCTTTTAAATTTAAGGTGAATTTGTTTTTAATTTCTCAAATTTAAAATTAATCTTTTTAATTCCTATAAATTCAAAAAAAAAAATGTTTTAGTTATTATACTCAAATTTTGTTAAGAAAATTGCCAAATAATATTGCATAAAATCTACTTACTAGTATATTTATTAGTGAAAATATCTTATTAAACTCAATTGATATTGCATGATTGTCTCAATTTACCACTTTTAGATATGTTATTGGTGACTCAAAGGATTTTAGTACTTATATTCAAATTTTGTTAAGAAA